GATTTTAAGGTTTCGAATTGTTTTCCAAAATAGTTTTTGTCAATAAAACTTTTTTGTAAAATTATGTACGTTATTTTTTTTTTTACCTGGACTAACTTCTTATCAACACAATGAATTCAGAATATATTGTTGATAAATTATCTACCTTTTCAAGCATCTTTATAGAATTCACATGTTTCTTATTGCTGCAATAAAAAATCCTTCCATTGGAAGTAACTTTGAGTTTCCATTTTGTATAAAAGCAATCACAAGCAGTTTTTTGAGCAACCAATGACTTAGCAGTTCATATTCTATCATTTGAAAATTGAAATGGAGAATCTGAAACACAAATATTACTTCATACTTTATTTCATACATGTCAAACCCTTTGGATGTTTACCTGAGTCTCAAAAATCCATAGTTTTAGCAAAAAATCCATATTAATCACAACGTGGGGGTGCAGGTGGACTGTCGCAGCAAAATCAGAAGAAAATAAGGATGGAAGAACTTATTTCTAGCAGCCGGGTGGGTTGGAAGTACTAATGTTATTAATTTTTTTTACAGGCTGCTAAATAAATTTGAAACYGAGTTTTGAAAAAAAYTGTAACATGAAAAAATCCRTGAGATTGCTCTATACGTCTGTATACCTGCAAAATGAGGGAAAATCCATACAACTTGATGTGKATGCCATTTTATCTGTTATTTGTCAATAATGTCAGAATTAGTTGACAACCTTTATTGTTTTAGTACGTAAATTTCTTTGAAAATACTTTCTATTCAATTAACGTTCAATAGAGAACAACAAGTAAAATAGTTGGAATGGATTGTGTTWTTATCAGTTTTCAGACTGAGTGAAAACATATTTTTGTTTAGTGTTTAAACRTTCTGCATCTTCAAGTTTTCAGAACTGTTTTCAGTAAAAGATGGTCAACAGCCAACATAAAGGTAGAGTTACATGACCTCATAATATCAATAACATCAGCACAGGAAGGTATGTGGCCTTTATAGTTGCTTTTTGTCTGAAGCAAAGCCCCCCAGTTTTCAAAAAGATTTTAAAACAACATCAGATAACCAAGCTGCTTTTGCACTCTTTGGATTATTTCTTAAACTTCTGAATGAAGTAAAAATATCTCAGAGAAAAAGTGTTTTCTTCACGGAGTACAACAACATAAATGGAAACTTACCCAACTCTTTGGAGACCGGAGACGTTGCAGCATTCTCCCCGATCTTTGACAGTGCATCAAAATACATCTTCCCTGCCATTGACATTGCTGGGAAAATAACAAGAAAGAACTGTTTCTGAAAGTAGTCTAAAGGGTAAAGACCACAGAAACACAAAAAAATTACATCCACCAACCTCTAACCCTTAACTCTCTGCTTAGCCATTTTGTGAATCTGCAAATGTTTATCGTTGTGGCAACAGAAAACTCACCACTAACAGATTTCTCATAGCTCTTTCCCAGGTTGACCAGGTTCCTCAGTCCTGGGTTGAACTGTTCCATTACATTCTGGGTGGTTTGGGATAAAAGAGGGAAAAGAGCCATCATCAGACAAGAATACAAACTTACCTGCACACATAACAATACTGACAAATACGGACCTTAAAGTTGAAATAGTGGTCAACACAGACTAGTTTATGATTTTCCATACACCTGGATGATGTCATGTCTACATGTGTGACTGCTTCTGAAGCACTCACACTATTGAGATTGTTTTATGGCACATACATCATTCGGCAATTTGTGCCATTTCAATTTATGTATCATGTTCAGCTCCTTCAGGACATTGACGTTTGGTACTTCAGCAACTGATACTTTTCGAAATATCTTTTTCTGCCATTTTTCTCTCCTTCAAACTGTTCATGAAACTTGACCACACTTTGTACCTTTTATTTTGGTTCTGTTGTAGGCTAAGCTAATTTAAGTTCACTAAACTCACTGTTTAGTGACAATTTCAGCCTTTTACTGTTGAACTCAAACATTCTCTTTGTTTCTTTATGCTAATTTCAGCTACTTTGTTTTAGCCATTTAGGCTAGTTTCAGCAGTTTTTTTTACAAAAAAAATTGGAAGCATTTCTTGTTTTTTTATTATTTATTTTTTTGCTCATTTGAAAAAATTACACTTTTCTTTTTAACTTGTTTCATCAAACTTTTTGCTAATTTTAGATGCTTTTGCTTGCTTCAGATTGTTTTACCCCTTCTTGCCATCTTTCTACTGATGTTTCACTTTTGTTGTCCTACTCTCAGCAACAATCAGCTGTTCAAATTTAACTCACATTGCAGCTTTGCTATTTAACTTCCTTGGCTTCTTCAGCAGCTTTCAGCAAAAAAGTCTTTCAGCATTAAGCATTTACAGAGTTTTCACAGGAAATGCAAATTCTCCAGTTTAACTCTTATTTACAGCGGGTAAAATAAGTATTGAACACGTCACCATTTTTCTCAGTAAATATATTACTAGAGGTGTTAATGACATGAAATTTTCACCAGATGTCGGTAACAACCCAAGTGATCCATACATACAAAGAAATCAAACCATAAATGTCCAGAAATGAAGTTATTTGTAATAATGTGGAATGGCACAGGGAAAAAGTATTGAACACACTTACTGAAATTTATCTAATACTTTGTACAAAAGCCTTTGTTGTCAATGACAGCTTCAAGACACCTCCTGGATGGAGAAACTAGTGGCATGCATTGCTCAGGTGTGATTTTGGCCCATTCTTCCACACAAACAGTCTTCAAATCTTGAAGGTTTCGTGGACCTCTTCTATGAACTCTGATCTTTAGTTCTTTCCATAGTTTCTGTTGGATTCAGGTCAGGTGATTGGCTGGGCCATTCCAGCAGCTTTASTTTCTTTCTCTGAAACCAACTGAGAGTTTCCTTGGCTTTGTGTTTGGGCTCATTGTCTTGCTGAAATGTCCAGCCACGTTTCATCTTCATCATCCTGGTAGATGGAAGCAGATTTTTATCAAGAATGTCTCTGTACATTTTTCCACTCATCCTTCCTTCAATTATTTGAAGTTTGCCAGTACCATATGCTGAAAAACAGCCCCGCACCATGATGTTCCCACCTCCAAACTTCACTGTTGGTATGGTGTKTTTGGGCTGATGTGCAGTGCCATTTGACCTCCAAACATGATGTGTATTCTGGCATCCAAACAGTTCAATGTTGGTCTCATCTGACCAGAYTATATTCTCCCAGTATTACACAGGCTTGTTTAAATGTTGTGCAGCAAACTTTAAAGGAGCTTCAACATGCTGTTTCTTCAGCAGTGGAGTCTTGAGTGGTGAGCGTGCATACAGGCCATGGTGGTTCAGTGCATTACTTATTATTTTCTTTGAAACAATCGTACCTGCTAATTCCAGGTCTTTCTGAAGCCCTCCACAAGTGGTCCTTGGCTCTTGGACAACTCTYCTGATMATTCTTTTCACTCCTCTRTCAGAAATCTTGTGAGGAGCACCTGGTCGTGGTCGGTTTATGGTGAAATGATGTTCTTTCCACTTCTGAATTATGGCCCCAACAGTGCTCACTGGAACCTTCAGAAGTTTAGACATTCTTCTGTAACCGATGCCATCATTATGCTTTGCAACAATAAGGTTGTGAAGGTCTTGAGAGAGCTCTTTACTTTTACCCATCATCAAATGTTTCTTGTGTGATACCTGGTCATCATTTGRGACTGAACCAGCTGATATTAATTTGCACTGACAAGGGGCAGGCTTGCTTTCTAATTACTGAGAGAGTTCAGCTGGTGTCTTGGCTTTCCATGCCTTTTTACACCTCCCTTTCTTCATGTGTTCAATACTTTTTCCCTGTGCCATTCCACATTATTACAAATAACTTCATTTCTGGACATTTATGGTTTGATTTCTTTGTATGTATGGATCACTTGGGTTGTTACCAACATCTGGTGAAAATTTCATGTCATTAGCACCTCTAGTAATATATTTACTRAGAAAAATGGTGACGTGTTCAATACTTATTTTACCCGCTGTATCTGGATAACCCTGTGGTGATAACGTAGACTTCAACTGAGGTTTTATGGCTTGACTTCTGATTTAGGCCTTAAAAGTCAAAACTTAGCATTCAAACTCCAGACATGTCATGATAAATGTGAGAAATCCCTCCAGCAGTGACTCCCTGGTGCTGGTGTCACGTTCAATCTGCCATTCAGTTTCGATCACCAACAAATCCAAGCACAGAAACAGAAGTTGTCACTAACATTTTATCCATCACTTATGATGCTCTTCCCACTTCTATCCACTACTGCAAGCATTGTGTAACTATTATATAGCTGTGAGCAAGAGGTGACGGCTGCCGAGGAGCTTGCTGTATAATCTTACCACACAAAACACACAGCCAACTGAATTATTAAACCTGGAGTCTTTTTCCCTGCATTTCAACACTCCCAATGAGCTGTGGGGGCTGATCTAACAGGAGGCGAGCAAATAAAAAAAGAGCTCAAAGCTTGTGAGAAAAGCCTTAAATCTCTCCTGTAAAAAGAAAAAAAGAAAAAGAAACAGAAATTCTCCTCCTGCTTCCATGCAGGGTTTAAGAAGCTGTGAGTGTTGATGGGATTAGGAGGAGTTGGTGGGTCAGGGTTCCCTCTGCTTTAATTCAGTGAAATCACAGCATGCAAAGAATAAGCCACAATTAATAAAAACAAACTAACAAATTTAAGACATTTTCAAGTTCTCAGCCAGGGTAAATAATGCTAATAAGCTCAGTCTATTTCAGGGGCGGCCCTAGGGGTGGGGCCACAGGGGTACTGGCCCCAGCTGAAATCTGACTGACCCCTGAAGTGCTCCTGTCCTGTCACTCATCTGTCCTTTATCTGAGAGCGATGATGATGGATGCAGTTCTATGTCCAAACACTAGAAGCGCTACTGAGTCAAACAGAAAAGTCCAGCATGAATCAAGCTTAGAGGTCTTCTTTTCTTAAAAAAAAAGTTGGTTTCTCACATGCTGTGTTTGAGAGTATTTAATTTATTTACAGTAAAATTGAATGTAAAATCGGTGAGGAGAATTTACTGTACAAACTTTTTTTTTTTAAACCACATTACTTTCCAAGTGTTTGAACATGTGTGTAAATGTATACACCTTACTAAAACAAGGGATTTGTGTGCAAGGATGTTGAACAAACACTTAGGGCCTTTCTATGAATATTGTGGCCCCTTACACAGAAAAAATACTAGATCCAGCAYTGGTCTATTTCCTTCCAAACCAGTAGTGAAGCCAGCTCCTGTGGGAACTCCAGAAATACCTGTTGGAAAACTGCTCCTGCGTGTTTAACACTTAAATCGACCAAGAACAAGTTCATTATTTAGCCCTGGCTGCTTAAATAAACCCCATTTATCATCATCATCATCTTTGAAAGCTGCCATGTTAAGCAAAGAAAAAAAAAAGGTATTATTTTCTTTCTGTCCACAATTATCTCCATCAAGTCCACAGCAAAACAACAGAAAATTAATTAGACTAAATGAAAACACCTGTTGAAGTCAGTGTTTGTCCACATGGGCTGTATGGAGGAATTTTCTCCCCCTCATCAGCCCCTACCTGTCCTGTTCGTGGTCGGCTCGCACCTGTTGTGTTCACAGCCTTCTTAAAATAATAATAAAAAAAGAAATATAATAAAAACTTACCTTGTATGTACTTTCAGTGAGCTTGTTCACCTCCTCCACGCTTTTCGACATGTTCGCCTTCCTCTCGACGCCCGACAAAACTAAATAAAACGATTTTCTTTATGTATAATTTACAGGAGCAACGACTACAAAACAAGCTGATCCAAGCGAGAGAACCTACGGACATTTAAAGTCCCTCATTGCGAGCACGAGACGCGGGTCGCGCGCATAATACCACCATTAGAAGATTAAACGGAAATTAAGAATATAATAAAATAAAAACTGATAGAAAAGTCCAGATATCTGCTGCTGCTCGGCGCTGAAAGGCTGGGCTGTCAAACTTGTTGTAGGTGGTGAGTTCAGTTCTCTGAAGGGGTGGAGACCTGTGGAGGGAGGTATTATTAGTCTGTTTTAACCCTTGGAGGTGTTTAATGGGTTGTTTTGTCATGAGGGGTCGAATTAATAAAGTTATTCAAAAGAGGGAGACAGCTGTCAAGGTAAAATAAAATGAGCTGATAACTTTATTTTTTTTAATCTAAAACAGAAAACATTTCACCCTTTTTGTGCCTTTAAATTGGGATTTAACGAGCTTGTGTCTGCTTTACAAATGTTCACGGCTCCATCAGACAAAGCGTTTGCTGTAATTTGTTTTAAATGGATTTCTATTAGGTTTGAGTTTTCCATGCAAGCAGGTGGAAAAAGACGTGGGAAAATACATTTAAGGCGGAACAGGAGCGCCCCCTGGAGGTTTCTTATGCATAACACAGATATTTAAGTTGCCCAACCAACCAAATAAACCTATTTAAATCCTTATTTTGAAATTTTTGAGAAGAAACTTTAAAATAATCCATGCAATTTAATACTGAAGTTGAAGTACTTCTAAGGGTTGCACAATCTGTGAATTAAAGCTGTACATTACTTTTCTTAAACATTGTTTTCTTTGATACACTATCCAAACGACTGTGCACCAGTGCACAAAGCAAGGCTCCATTAAGACATGGATGGCAGAGTCTGGTGCTGATGAAATTGACTGGCCTGCACAGAGTCCTGACCTCGACCCAACAGAACACCAGAGCGGAGCCTGAGAGCCAGGCCTTCTGTCCAACATCAACATGTGACCTCACAAATGAGCTTCTGGAAAAATGGCCAAAAATCCCCATAAACACTCCTAACCCTTGTGGACGGCCTTCAGAGAAGAGTTGAAGTTGTTCTAGCTGCAAAGGGTGGACCAACGTCGTATTGAACCCTGTGGATTAGGAATAGGATATGTGAGTCAAGGCAGGTGAGCCAATACTTTTGGCAATATAGTGTATATTAGATCACTGGTTCCCAAACTTTTTATCTTCTGACCCACAAAATATCCATGGCGAAAACTTGTGACCCCAAATATTACTGGTCTGAGTACACAAACATTGTTAATACGCCTGAAAACACAGGCTTTTTGACAATCTAAACAGCTTACACAAATATAAATACTTATTTAAACTTTCTTTTGTGTGTTTTTGTAATAGTTGTAGGGAAAATATTACATCAGCAATTGTTTTATTACCCTTTAAAATGATTTCTGGAGATTATCCAAGGTGCTTCATGACCCATAATTGGGTCCCAAGCCCAACTTTGGGAACCAAAGTGCASTGGTTCCCAAACTTTTCAGTTTTTGACCCACAAAATAACAGTAGCAGAGACCTGTGCCCCAAACTATTTTTGCATGATAAACATTTGTATCAGGTCAACTAAACATGGGCATAGTAATATTTTTATACTACATTYATCCATTTTAAATATACTAACCTCACTCCTTTGTTAACAACTAAGGCAAAAATGTAATTAATTCAGAAAATCTTTTCAGGACCCCACCTTGATGTTTCGGGACCCCACTTTGGGTCCCGACCCCAACTTTGGGAAACACTGTATTAGATAGTTGCTTTATATTGGGTTGTCTCAGTAATGACGTTACATTCTGAACATATTTTGGTGTATAAATTATTGAATAATGATGAGTTTTCTTTGCTTGCTTTACTTTTTTTTATAAGGACTGCTTAAGGTCGCAGCAAAAAAATTGTTTCCTGAAATCTGACTCTTTTTCACAATTCTGAAATTAAAGTCAAAATTCTGAGAGACAAAAGTCAGATTTTTTTTCTTTGGCCCTAATCCTGTTCCATAGAAATTTCCTTTCAATTCTTTGGAACMAAAAATAATAAACCAGATGACATTCTTGCTGTAAATACATTTCATACTATTWTTTTGTTTTGTTTTATTTTACTTTTAGTAACACTAGATGATTTATACATATAGGATTGTGTAAAGAGCACTGCCAGAGTTGTAATGAGTTGTGAATGATCTGGTCATCCAACTGTTGTTTGCAGCAATCCATATCCATAGAGGGCCCCAAAATCAAAATTTGCTCAGGGCCTATGGAGGCCTGGGCTGGCCCTATAGGAAACATTAGTGTAACATAAAAATGAACTTTTATTTCCCATTCCTCATGTATTGTACAAACTTTATTAAAATTTTATAAGGAATTTCTGTCTATATCACTGGCAAAGTGCAGGATTCCAAAATAGCCATGTGTACACTCCAAATGTTCAAAAGTAGCAATACTAATTGCTTCAAAAAAATAAAAATCTAAAATACTATCTAAATTTAAAATGTAAAGAATTATTATACGACTATTAACTTAACACAACAAACAAACATTTTGATCCGAGGTACACAAAAACTTTGAAAACAAAGATTTTCATCTTGTATTTCCAATTAGATCAAATCAATTTTGTAAGTAGAAGTAAAGTTTCTCATTTGCCACTAGATGTCCCTCCCTGTCAACTGATTTTGTCACAATTAACTCAAGTCAGGTTTCAGACTCCTTGTCGAACACTTACATCAACACAAGACTTATTCACACACACCTTTTTGCTATAATTCAGTGATTCTTTTTAATGACAGTCCAAAGGGATCAACGTCAGTAAATACCCTGTCAGATATTTCAGAGTCTCTGCAGCCAACAAATCGAACACGGAGCATTTGTAATTAAAACAAAYACGCCAAGCCCCTTCCTTGTAAATGCCACTTGAGTTTAAAACTTTGCACAGCTCCCCTGCTGCCACACGAGGCTGCAAAGAGGGAGCTGAATTCAAAATGAGATTGTACCCTCAGGCTCTGAACACTGCTCTCAGCTCCCAAAATGCTGTTAAGTGACACACACAACRTAATTAGTCTCAAAAGCCTCTGTGTGAGAGGTAAGACTAATCTATTTTTTCCCCCTCCTGTTGTTATCTTCCACATCCTGTCTGTCCTGACAGCCTCACACCGGGTCAGCAGGCGGGGATCAATACTAAAGGAATGTGGTGCTAGATAAAGCAATATGAGGGTCATTTATTACCAGTCTAACAGAAGGACAAACACTAAAGATTTTTACTGCAATTTATGTCGTCCCACAAATCTTAATTTGTCAGTCTTATTAAATACACCAGGGGGGAGTAACAAATGAAACTTATTCTTTAACATTATAAGAGTCAGACATCAAAAATGAGATTTATTTACACACAAAGTGCACTTCCACAATGTTGTTGCGTTGGTTACCTTTTATTTATGTGCCAAAACAAATGTGGGGGACAAGTAGTATCTCATAAAGGTGTCAACTTTTTTATTTAARTTTTTTTAATGAAAAATKAATACCTTACCTGKGGYTGAKAGCTCCCACAGTGGCTTCTATAGCACAAAGTAACATTCATGTCTGGAACAGTTTTTATTCCTGGTGAGCTAACGCTAATCTGAGCAGGAGGTTCACACATAATAACATTTCTGCTGAAATGACCATATAAGACTGACAGGGGTGTGAAGTTTAAAAAAATAGCTTTCACACGAACTGTCATCGGTCTGTTCAGAGTTAAACTCTCCGTTTAAGGCTATTCAGAAACTCATCTCTAAGGGGTAAGACGCTTATTGTTCATAGTCTTCACAGAACCCCTCTTCAAAAAGTCTGAACCAAGAGACTGTGCCTTTACAGAATAAAAACTTAGCACACAAAGTAAGGAACTTTGTGTTTGGTAGATTATTTCTTTGTTGTAACGATGCTTCCTGGCAGTTAAATCCTACACCCTTTTAAATGGTGCCACATTTGTAAGGAACATGCATTTGTGGGATGAGCAGTAGAGCTGAGTATGTGGGTCGCGCACATGAAAAATTTGCCAAATCCTCTCTGCCAAACAGCTTATTCTGTTGTTGACGCTTGTTTTCAGCTTCTGGTTCCCCCAGGTGCTGACAATCAGGYGGTTGATTGACAACACCTGTGAGCATGGGCCCTACAGTGGTCAGTAGGTGTCTGCTCCACAAAATGGTGTGCCATGCTTGACTGATCTGGATAGGGCACGTGCTATACGGCAACTTCAAGCTGGTGTTCCACAAAACCAAGTTGTAGAATTGTGTGAAGTGAGCCCCATGCCAGTGTTTCCCAAAGTTGGGGTCGGGACCCAAAGTGGGGTCCCGAAACATCAAGGTAGGGTCCTGAAAATATTTTCTGAATTAATTACATTTTGCCTTAGTTGTTACAAAGGAGTGAGGTTATTATATTCCAAATTGATAAATGGAGTATAAAAATATTGTTACTATGCCCATGTTTAGTTGACCTGATACAAATATTTATCATCCAAAAATATCTGGGGGCACAGGTCTCTGCTRCTGTTATTTTGTGGGTCAAAAGCTGAAAGGTTTGGGAACCACTGCACTTTGGTTCCCAAAGTTGGGCGTGGGACACAATTATGGGTCATGAAGCACCTTGGATAATCTCCAGAAATCAATTTAAAGGGTAATAAAATAATTGATGATGTAATATTTCCCTATAATTATTACAAAAACACAAAATAAGTAAAAATAARTATTTATATTTGTGTACAAGCTGTTTAGATTGTCAAAACATCTGTGTTTTTAGGGTTATTAACGAAGTCCATGTACTCAGACCAGTAATATTTGGTGTCACAAGTTTTTGCTTTGGATATTTTGTGGGTCAGAAGACAAAAAGTTTGGGAACCACTGCTCTATGCTAYCTCCAAACTGAAGGCCAAGTTCCATAGAATGGGGGATTTCAGAGAGGCAGTGAAGTGGGTGTCTCATGAAGACCTCAGGAAGAAGCAGTGTGTGGCCACACACACTAGGTTCCTGTTTGTTAAAGTGGAAATATCATGTAAAATAAACTTTTTTTAGTTTTATATCTTGTTATAATGTTATCCTCTCATCAAAAACATGCCCCAATCTTACTTTGACTCATTCATGCATGTTTGAGAAATCCTGTAGTGTCCTGAGGCAGCTGGCAGGGGAGCAAAAACAACCAGTTGGGCCTAGAACCGCCTTATCAGCTCCTCCTCTGGGCT